TAATAATGATAATAATAATAATAATAAATAAATAATGGTACAAGTAAAAAGCACTGGGGGCGGGGACAGGCCTTGTCTTATCTCCGCGCCTTTGTGCAATTAGTAGTTTCTACTGGGGACTCTCCTCTTGTCCCCCAGGTTTTGTCTCCGAGGCAAGCTCCTATTCACCCTCCAAAGCCCACTAGAGCATCATTTCCCCCAAAGCCTTCCTTAAGAGCAATCCTCCCAGGGACTCCCTCCAACCCAGAGTGATTGCCGTTTTTCCTCTGTGCGGTCCAGTCCGTGCACAGGCACCCGCCTCCCACAGCACCAGAAAGGCTCCTGAAGGCTGCACCTAAGTTCAACCCGCAAGGCGCCTGGTGCCCAGCTGGTCTCTGGTAAATGTGCTTGGAACTAAAAGAGAGGTTTTGACCCCTGGTGTTTGTAACCTTGGTGTCTCAGTAAAATGCAGCCCGCGCTGCCCCTGCCTCCTGTCACTCCGAAGATATTGAGCCGGGGAAAGAGCTTCCTGAACACCTGGGGTGGAACCGCAGGGAGAGGAAGGCTGGGCCCACCCCGCGCTCGATTAGGAAATGGACTCGTCCGCGCCTCCGGGCGGGCGGGACCTCAGGGACTGCCTGGGAAGAGGTCATTCCTTCTAGGGAGCGTCCATTCGCTTAGGCCAGAGGAAGACTTAGCGGCCTAGAGGAAGCTCCAGGGGAGCCCCGGAAACCCGGGACATAGCTTTCCTTCCAGGCCCCTGCCCGGTGAGAGACAGCCGATTAAGTGGAGTGATTTTCACTTTACACCCCTCTTTCCTTCCACACAGAATTGGAGGCAGTTTGCAGGATATTCCAAACAGTGGTGAAATATAAGAAAGGGCTGGGACCAGAAAAAGAGAGCGAGCGAGAGAGATTATATATACCTATTTTAAAAAATATTTGAGCAAGTCCCCCATTCTCTCTCCCAGACATCTGACTTTGAACGTAGAATTTGCTTTGTTAGAAGAAAACAGTCCTTGCTCGTTGAGCTAAAGGAAATTCCCCTCTTTGCTTTCCTCTGCAGCAGGCACATTTTTGAATGTTGGGAAATGGAAGCTCAGAGACGTGAGGGACTTGCCGGGATCCACCCAGCAGCAGGGACAGATAGTGAATGACCGTGCAGGTGGCCAGAGTGCTGGCAGGGGCTAGAGCCAAATGTTTTCTGTGAGTAAAGGTTTCCCCTTTTCTCCATGGGAAGCTTTGAAAAGTCTCCACCTGGGAGCCGAGTGGACACGAAAGAGGCGGGGCTAATTACTAAGGACAGATCGGTAGGACTTTGGGGAGAGGAAAGCCATGTGACTTTGGGGAGCAGTAGACAAATTTAAGCCCCGATTTCCTCATCTGTAAAATGAGGACATAGTATCCATTTAGTAGGGACATCAGGAAAACTGGATGCAAAAAGCAATGACTACGCACCTGCAATACTTCATTTCATTTTGAGACAAGGTCTCACTCTGTCACCCACACCCAGGTTCAAGTAGAGTAGCGTGATCTCAGTTCACTGCAGCCTTGACCTCCCAGGCTCAGGTGATCCTCCCACCTCAGCCTCTCAAGAAGCTGGAACTGTAGGCACGTGTTACCACGTCTGGCTAATTTTTGTCTTTTTTTTTTTTTTTTTGGAGACGGGGTTCCCGCTCTGTCACCCAGGCTGGAGTGCAGGGCCTGATGCTGGCTCACTGCAACCTCTGCCTCCTGGGTTCAAGCAATTCTCCTGCCTCAGCCTCCCAAGTAGCTTGAATTACAGGTGCATGCCACTAAGTCCAGCTAATTTTTGTCTTTTTAGTAGAGATGGGGTTTCACCATGTTGGTCAGGCTGGTCTCAAACTCCTGACCTCAGGTGATCCGCTCACCTCAGCCTCCCAAAGTGCTAAGATTACAGGCATGAGCCACTGTTCCTGGCCATAATTTTTGTCTTTTTTTTTGGTAGCAATAGAGTTTCACCAGGTCACCCAGGTTTGTCTCAAACTCCTGGGCTCAAGAGATTTGCCCGCCTGGTCTCCCAGAGTGCTGAGATTACAGGCATGAGCCACTGCGCCTGCCCTCTTTTTATTTTTTTCTTTCTGAGACAAGGTCTTGCTCTGTCACTTAGTTTGGAATACGGTGATGTGATCATTGCTCCCTGCAGCATTCGACTCCTGGGCTCAAGCGATCCTCCTGCTTCAGCGCCTCAAGTAGCTAGAGCCACAGGTTTGTGTCACCATGCCCGGTTATTCTTTGTTTTATTTTCTGTTTTTTAAATTTTTCGTAGAGACGAGTCTTGCTGTGTTGCCTTAACTGGTCTTGTACTCCTGGCCTCAAGTGATCCCCCTGCCTCTGCCTCCTAAAGTGCTGGGATTACAGGTGTGAGCCACCGTGACTGGCCTACTTCTGTCTTTATTTTTCCCATTTAGCAAATGAAAAAGCTGAGGCCCAGAGAGGGGACATGGCAGGCTCAAGGCCACAGTGGCAGGCCTGGGACAAGGTCTAGCCCCTGGAGCCATCCAGCTTGGGTTTCTTTCCCTCCAGCACCACTGTCCCTCCTCAAATCGTCCCTGGCCTTGGCCAGGTTCCCTGTGGTCTTGAGGAAATAAAGGGAAAGGGAGGATCCAGCCTCATTCCAACCTCACCTCCCCCCCAACACACACAGTGGGGGCTGCTTCGCAGGAGGACAGATGTTTTCACCAAATGGCACTTGCACGTGCTCTTCCCTGGCTTGGGGAGGAGGTGGGCGCTGAGAAGGAAATGCCAGCTGGTTGGGCAGAGAGAACCGCAGCCACACCTGAGGGATTTAAATAGCCTCCGCCTTCTCTGGGCACCGGCTGAGGGGGAGGCATCTGGGCAGGGTTGGAGGGGAGCGGGAAACAGAAGGGCCGTTTGGAACCTGCCACAGTCCAGGGATGAGCGCCTGGCTCCTCCTCCCAGAGGGACCTGGTCCAGGCATCTCACCTCCCTGGACCTCAAGGTCCATCCCCTGCAAAGCGAGTCTCTGAAGGCCACAGAACCACGTGCCTATTGATGGAAAGAACCTGAGTAACAGGCCTGACCCATGCCTGGCACCCATGCTCAATACTTGATGGCTATGATGATAACCACCTCCCTGCCAGGGCAGGAGGGCCCACTGCTGAATCTCTGACAAATGAGCTCCCACCCGCTGCTCACCCACCTCTCGTGACAGGGTGTTCATCACCTGCCATGGCAACCCACAGCGTAAGGTAGTGATTTCATGGCAGACCGTGTGTTGGAATCTGGGCTACAGGACTACTTAGTGTCTGTGTGACCTCAAGCAAGTTATTTAGCCTCCCTGCCTCGCTTTCGCCATGTGTAAAATGAGAATGAGGCCAGGGCTTCCTCACAGTGTTGTTTAGATGAGTGCCTTTGGAACATTATAGTTAAACAAGGTCCCCAGGGCATTCGTGTGCACATCAGAGTCTGATTCACCCCGGAATGCCTGGGCAGGAACTGAGATTCTGCATTCCCAACAAACAGTAGCAATGCTACTGGTCTTTGGACTGCATTTGGGGTCTCAAAGGACTGCCTTGGCTGGGCGCGGTGGCTCACGCCTGTAATCCCAGCACTTTGGGAGGCTGAGGCGGGCGAATCACCTGAGGTCAGGAGTTCGAGACCAGCCTGGCCAACATGGTGAAACCCCATCTCTACTAAAAATACAAAATTAGCCTGGCGTGGTGGCGGGCGCCTGTAATCCCAGTTACCTGGGAGGCTGAGGCATGAGAATCCCCTGAACCCGGGAGGCAGAGATTGCAGTGAGCCAAGACTGTGCCACTGCACTCCAGCCTGGGCCACAGAGTGAGACTCTGTCTCAAAAAAAAAAAAAAGAAAGAAAAAGGAAAAAAAAGGACTGCCTTTCCCTGGGAGTCAAAGTAGGGAAAGTAGGGGACATAGGGGGCCATAGAATTGTCTTGACCACTGGAGTGACAGATTTTTTTTTTTTTTTTTGAGACGGAGTCTCGCTCTGTCGCCCAGGCTGGAGTGCAGTGGCCGGATCTCAGCTCACTGCAAGCTCCGCCTCCCGGGTTTACGCCATTCTCCTGCCTCAGCCTGCCGAGTAGCTGGGTCTACAGGCGCCCGCAACCTCGCCCGGCTAGTTTTTTGTATTTTTTAGTAGAGACGGGGTTTCACCGTGTTAGCCAGGATGGTCTCGATCTCCTGACCTCGTGATCCACCCGTCTCGGCCTCCCAAAGTGCTGGGATTACAGGCTTGAGCCACCGCGCCCGGCCTGGAGTGACAGATTTTTATCACAGAAAAGGGGCTGGCCATAGTGGCTTATGCCTGTAATCCCAGCACTTTGGAAGGCTGAGGCAGGCAGATGACTTGAGCACAAGAGTTTGAGACTAGCCTGGGCAACATAGTGAGACCCCATCTCTGTTTAAATACACTTGTCATGGAAAAGCCTCTCTGGTTATCTGTGGCAGGAGGTGGGAGGGAAAGGAGGAGGTCTGTTATTTAGAGAGAGATGAGGGCCCTGAGTGGGAGGAGGGCTTACTCAGGTCAAGGAGGGGAGGCTAAGGGCCCTCAGCTCACCTGGCCCACTCTTTCAGATGCAGAGACTTATATCCAGAGAAGGTGGTGGACCTGCTCAGACCACACAGCTCTGGGAGGACTCCCTCCCACCAGGGGGCCCTTCACTCCCCACCCTTCCTGCCGCTCAGCCCTCCGGGGTCTCTCCTGGCCTGTGCATCCCTGTTTAATATCCTAGTAACACCAAGAAGAGAGGGCCCTGGATCTCCCTGACCAACTTGACCTCCTTCCTACTCACAACAACCCCATTTTACAGGTGAGAAAATTGAGACCTGGAGAGGGGAAGGCCCACCGACCCAGGCTGCAGCTGAGGTCAGTCTGATTCCGCTGCTGAGTGGTGTGCCATTACCATTGTCCACCTGCAGCAAGGTCGGGTCCCGACTGTGTGGACATCCAAATTAACAGACAGAGGTGGGGACTCCCCTTCGGCTCGCCCCGCCCCACCCCACGCTCCCAAGGAGGGAGCTCCAGCTCTGGGAAAATGAGGACAATAGCAGGGATCGCCCCACAGGGCACTTCCACGTGCTGGCTCCTGCCAAGCGCTGGCACCAGTGTTATGGGGCCTGTGTACAGATGAGGAAACTGAGGCAGAGACAGGGGCTTGGTGGCAGGCCTTTGGTTTCTGCGGAGGGAAGGCAGAGGACACTTGGGGCATGGGCGGCATGGGTCGTGGCGGGCACCCGGCGCACACGGCAGCCGGGCGCAGGTCAGAAGACCCCCGCGTCACCGGGCCGCCCCGCCCCGCCCCGCCCCGCCCCACCCGGGAGCCGGGCGCTGGGATGGGCGGGAGGCGGGAACTCCGGGCCGCGCCGCTTCCTGGCTCCCCACCCTGCGCCGGCGGCCGCCCTGGCCACGTCACCGCCCGGCCAAGAGTGTGTGGGCGGCGGCACGGCGGGTGCGAACGCGGAGCTGTGAGGCGCAGGCAGGGCTCTAGGGCACCCAGAGATCAGGGCCGGGGACGTGGCAGCCGCCCTGCCCGCTAGAAAGTTTCCTAGAAGTTTGCTGGGCGCGGGCGCACGACCGACGGGCCGAACCATGAACGTGTTCCGAATCCTCGGCGACCTGAGCCACCTCCTGGCCATGATCTTGCTGCTGGGGAAGATCTGGAGGTCCAAGTGCTGCACGGGTGAGGGACCCCCTCTCTGGCCAGCCTCATGCCCCTGCGTGCAGGGTAGGGCGCTCCACGGTGTCTGCTCAGGGCGGGGACTCCGGCATGGGGATCCTTGAAACTTTGCAGAGCTCCACTTCCAAAAATAATGTAAAGTTGTGTAAAATCAAAGGAGGACCCCTCGAGATGATGGGAGGAGGGTGGGTTTGTTCCTGCACAGACGCCCCCTCAGGTTGGCAGTGTTACTGATGGTTGGAAGATGAGGGGTATGAGGGAGGTCACAACCCCTCCCTCTCACCAGTTACACCCATTGTTCCCTCCACCCTCGATTGAGGGGAGAAGCTGGTATGCACTCAGGAAACGGCCCACGATTCTCAAGGTCTTCTCTTTCCTGCCCCTTCCCAGACCTCCCCCACGCCCCCCAAACTAAGCCCTCGTCCCTCTCCTGCCTGCATGTGGTATCGGTGGCTGGGATGTGGCAGGAGGGACCAGCCTGGCTTAGGTGGGTGTGGAGCGGCCCCTGAACGGAAGCCGGGGAGGGCTGGAGGGGTACCCTGTTTGCATTCTGGCTGCCCTGCTGGGACTTTGGAGAAACGTTGAGGCTGGACTCACGGTCGCCAAACAGATCCAGAGCCACCAAAGGCTGCCAGAGCTTCCTGCAGCCATCTTTGTCCACCGGCGTCCTTGTGGTGCCTGCCCTGTGCCTGGCACTGGGTGTGGGGATGCAGGAATGAGCTCAGGCTCCTCACGGGGCTGAGGAGGCCGAGAGTGGGCCCGGAAGGCCCTGTGGAAGGAGCAGCTCGGTGCTGGTCTTGGAGGACGCACAGGTGTCAATCCAGGAAGTGTGTGCTGTGGAGGGCTCTGGGGATGCACAGACATGGAGGTCACCAAGCACCGGGCATCCCCCCGGAAGGGTGGGCAGCCAGATTTGAGGTGGTCTGGAGGGAGATGAGTACAGGAGGGAGGCTGGTCCAGATGTGAAAAGGCCTTTTCTGTCAGGCCGGGGAGTTGGGTCTGGGGAGCCTTCACGGTTTGGGAGCGGGAAAGGGGCCTGGAAGGGGGCCTGAAGCAGGTCGCTTTGGAAGCTTTGAGAGAGAAGGCACAGAGAACTGGGGGAGGCCTGGCAGGGTGGGGGTCGGTGCAGACATGAACAACAGTACGGTGCGGAGGAAGTGGTTCTAGGCCTGGAGGCCATTTGGGTTTGGGGTCTCTGGAGAGACAGGTACAGAGATGGTGTCTCTTCAGGTTCTTCCTCAGGGGAGGTGGCCAGGAATGCTGAGTGGGGTACCCGGAGCAGCAGGCCCTGGTGAGGGGAAAATCAGCTCTGACCTATCCCTGCACTTTCGCTGAGGGCCCTGAACGGAGTGAGCAACCATAACCAAGAAGGGACACTGGTACCTGGCCGCTGTCTGCCAGACACTGCTGGGCACCTGAAATACAGCCCGGACAGCAGAGGCCCAACCCTAGTGGAGTTGACTTTCTTTTATTTTTTATTTTTATTTTTTTTGAGATAGAGTTTTGCTTTGTCCCTGAAGCTGAAGTGCTGTGGCATGATCTCGGCTCACTGCAACTTCCACCTCCCAGGTTCAAGCGATTCTCCTGCCTCAGCCTCCTGAGTAGTTGGAATTACAGGGCCCCACCACCACACCTGGCTAATTTTTGTATTTTTAGTAGAGACGGGGTTTCGCCATGTTGGCCACGCTGGTCTTGAACTCTTGACCTTAGGTGATTCACCCACCTCGGCCTCTCAGAGTGCTGGGATTATAGGCGTGAGCCACTGCACCCACCTTTTTTTTTTGAGACCGAGTTTTGTTCTATCCCCTACGCTGGAGTGCAGTGGCACAATCTGGGCTCACTGCAACATCTGCCTCCCGGGTTCAAGCTATTCTCCTGCCTCAGCCTCCCGAGTAGCTGGGATTACAGATGCCCGCCACCACACTCAGCTAATTTTTGTATTTTTAGTAGAGACGGGGTTTCGCCTCTCTACTAAAATTGGCCAGGCTGGTCTCGAACTCCTGGGCTCAAGTTACAGGTGTGAGCCACCATGCCCGGCCAAATGGTGGAGCTGACTTTCTAGTGGTAGGAAGCCATCGATAAACAATAGTCCTAGGAAACTGAGCAAATGACATGGTTTGTTAGAGGCCATAGTGAATACTATGGGAACAAAAAAAGGGCAGCTGGGTGGCAGGGATGGGCCTGTGCGTGCGCAGAGAGAAATCAGAGGTGAGGTGCCTGGATGGAGGCAGGGCCTGGGGTGACTTCAATAGAGCCAGTCCCAAAGGCCAGAGACTTGAGCTTCACTCTTGCTCCTCTCCTTGACTTGCTGTGTGACCCTGGGACTCTGTTTTCCCATTTGTCAAATGGGAGTGAGGGCTGCCCCAGCAGTGGGGTCCACCTGTGCTCAGTGGAGCCCGGAGGGACTCTGGCCAGTCCAGGCTCACATTGTCCTCTGTGTCCCGGGTCTCCATGTGCAGCTTCCTGGTGGAAATGATTGTTTTCAAAAGTATGAAAACTATCGTGCTCAAGATCACCGGAGGGCTGGGCGCGGTGACTCACACCTGTAATCCCAGCACTTTGGGAGGCCAAGGCAGGTGGATCACCTGAGGTCAGGAGTTCAAGACCAGCCTGGCACATGGCAAAACCCTGTCTCTACTAAAAATACAAAAAATTAGCTGGGTATAGTGATGGGTGCCTGTAATCCCAGCTACTCATGAGGCTGAGGCAGGAGAATTGCTTGAACCTGGGAGGCAGAGGCTGCAGTGAGCCTAGATCACGCCATTGCACTCCAGTCTGGGTAACAAGAGGGAAACTCTGTCTCAAACAAACAAACAAAACAAAACAAAAGATCACCAGGGTTCCCAAAGCGCTAAGGAAAATGTGAGTGAAACCCAAGAGGCTGGCAGGCTGGGGATGAAGAGAAAAGAGGGGTAGGGGAAGGCCCATGCAGGTGGCCAAGCATCCCCTACTAGGGCTACCTCCCAGACTGTCCTACGTGGGGCCAAGGGCTTCTCTGGCGAAGTCTGTGTGAGGGCTCAGTGAGATGAACATCAGGCCATCCCAGAGCTGGCCTCGGGTCAGTATGGCCTCCCGCAGTGGGGTTCATTACCCACTGCCAGCCCCACTGTCCCCCTCACCCTGGCAAGTGCACGTGCACGCGTGCCAGACCCCCCAAAGGGACTCAGATTCTCACTGAGCGTTGTGTATTCCTCACCTCAGTCCTGCCACTCTGCATGAGGGGCTGTTTGGCAGGTGAGGAATGTGAGACCCAGGCTCGCCCTCAAGCCAGCACATTCTCCAGAATGTTAGGGACTTCAGGGGTGTTCCTTCTTGCTCATTTTAAAAATGTTCCCCCAGGCTGGGTGCAGTGGCTCACGCATGTAATCCCAGCACTTTGGGAAGGAGGAGGATCACCTGAGCCCAGGAATTTGAGACCAGCCTGGGCAACATGGCAAAAATCTTGTCTCTAGAAAAAATATAAAAATTAACCGGGCATGGTAGCATTTGCCTGTAGTCCCAGCTACTCAGGAGGCTAAGGTAGGACAGTCATCAGAGCCTGGGGAGGTTGAGGCTGCAGTGATCTGTGATTGTGTCACTGTACTCCAGCCTGGGTGACAAAGTGAGACCCTGTCTCACAAAAAAAGAAAAAAAAATGTTCTCCCACCCCAAATGTCTGGAACCAGAGGAGTGGTTAGAGAAGGTACAGTTCAGGGGTACAGGGGAACCAGACCTGAATCAGACACCATAGTAGTTCCCTCTTATCCACAAAGGATATGTTCCAAGACTGCCAGTGGATGCCTGAAACCACAGGTTAAACCAAACCCTATATATATACTGTTTCTTCCATCTGATAACCAAGACTGCTGGTCGGGCACAGTGGCTCACGCCTGTAATCCCAGCACTTTGGGAGGCTGAGGCGGGCAGATCACTTGAGGTCAGGAGTTCGAGACCAGCCTAGGCAACGTGGTGAAAACCCATCTCTACTAAAAACACAAAAATTAGCCGGGCATGGTGGCAGGTGCCTGTTAGTCCCAGCTACTCGGGAGGCTAAGGCAGGAGAATGGCGTGAACCCGGGAGGCAGACGTTGCAGTGAGCTGAGATCACACCACTGCACTCCAGCCTGGGTGACAGAGTGAGACTCTGTCTCAAAAAAAAAAAAAAAAAGTGGCCAAAGGACACTAAAGACCATGAATGACAACAGAATGCAGCATGGATTCCTGGACAGAACCTAGGAATGGAAAAAGGGCGGCAGTGGGAAAACTGGTGAAATCAGAATAAAGCCTGGAGTTCAGTCAACAGTGTTCTACTGATGTTGATTTATTTGTTTTGATAAAGTACTGTCGTTAAATACGATGATTTTTTTTTTTTGAGACAGAGTTTCACTCTTGTTGCCCAGGCTGGAGTGCAATGGCGCAATCTCGGCTCACTGCAACCTCCACCTCCTGGGTTCAAGCGATTCTCCTGCTTCAGCCTCCCACGTAGCTGGGATTACAGGCACGCGTCACCACGCCCAGCTAATTTTGTATTTTTAGTAGAGACAGGGTTTCTCCATGTTGGTCAGCCTGGTCTCAAACTCCCAACCTCAGGTGATCCTCCCGCCTAGGCCTTCCAAAGTGTTGGTATTACAGGCATGAGCCACTACCCCTAGCCCAAATACGATGTTAACATTAGAGGAAGCTGGATATATGGGACTGTCTGTATTGTCCTTACAACTCTGTTGTAAATCTAACATTCTTTCAAAATAAAAAGTTAAAAAAGAAAGAGACCAAAGTAGGTCAAGAAACAGCATTTAGACTGGGCGCGGTGACTCACACCTATAATTCCAACACTGGGAGAATGAGGTAGGAGGATCACTTGGGCCCAGGAGTTTGAGACCAGGCTGGGCAACATAGTGAAACTCCGTTTCAATAATAATAATAATAATAACAACAACAAAATTAGCCAGTCTGATGGTTTGTGTCTATAGTTTCCAGCTGAGGTAGAATTGTTTGAGTCCAGGAGATCGAGGCTGCAGTGAGCTATTATTGCACCACTGCACCCCAGCCTAGGAGACAGAGTAAGACCCTGTCTCTAAAAAGAAAAAATAAAAAAGGAAGAAACTGCATGGAGATTATGAAACTTTTTTGTCAACTCAGTGCATCCATGTGCATCATATGTGTACACATAGGTGTCATGTGTGTACCTGTTCACAAAGATCTGGAAGGTTGAACCTAGGGCTTTGGGATATTTCTGTCTTTGCATCTTTATATATTGTCTGATTTTTGTTTTGCAAAGAGTAAATATAGGCATAACTTTTGTAACTAGAAAAAAGGCTTTTTGGCCGGGTGCAGTGGGTCATGCCTGTAATCCCAGCACTTTGCGAGGCCAAGGTGGGCAGATCACCTGAAGTCAGAAGTTCGAGACCAGCCATGGCCAACCTGGCGAAACTCCATCTCTACTAAAAATTCAAAAATTAGCCAGGCGTGGTGGTGGGCGCCTGTAATCCCAGCTACTTGGGAGGCTGAGGCAGGAGAATCACTTGAACCCGGGAGGCAGAGGTTGTGGTGAGCCGAGATCACGTCACTGCACTCCAACCTGGGCAAAAAGAGAGACCCTCTCTCAAAAAAAAAAAAAAAAAGAAAGAAAGAAAAAAGAAAAGGCTTTTTAAAATCTTACAGTTTGAAAAATAAAATCGAATACTCCCGTGGCCCTGAACCTTCCTCTGCTTGCTGCGGTCTTCCTGGTGAATCAACACCTTGTAAAGTCAGTGAGTTGTTCTTAAGACTGAGCTTTGGGGATTGTCAGTGGAACTCTGGGGGTGGAGTGAAGAGAAGCCTCAACAACCCCCACCAAGCCCGACTCACACCACCCCCGACATCCTCCCCAGAGCAAGAGCCCAGGCAGGCACACGCAGGGGGACTGGGAACTCGGTGTTCGTGTCTATTTGGAGACTGGGAGACAGATTACAGCTTAATGAGAGGAACAAGGACTCAAGTGAGCTGATGGGAAGGGTGAGTTTCCTGGCCCTTAGGGAGCGACAGTGCCCTGGACAGGAGGTCTTTGAGTGGGAGTGGACACTCTGAAGGCCTCCCCAGCTCCAGGCTGTGCACTTCTTGAGGGTGGGAAGGCTTAGGAGTCTGTGTCCTCATTGTCTCCTGTCTACCCTTGGCCACAGGCATCTCTGGGAAGAGCCAGATCCTTTTTGCTCTCGTCTTCACCACCAGATACCTGGACCTGTTCACCAACTTCATCTCCATCTACAACACAGTAATGAAGGTGAGGGGCTGGGTGATGATGGTCGGGGGAGGCCACCAAGCCCTCACAAACTGTGAGGTGGCCTGCTTGGAAACTCAGTGTGTGGAGCCAGGCCGACCAGGGTTTGAATCCTGACTTTGCTGCTTAGTGGCTGCATGACCTCATCTTGGGCCTCTTTGTATTCAGTGTCCTCATGCAAAAATGAGGACAGAGCCGGGCACGGTGGCTCATGCCTGTAATCCCAGCACTTTGGGAGGCCGAGTCGGGTGGATGGAGACCATCCTGGCTAACATGGTGAAACCCTGTCTCTACTGAAAATACAAAAAATTAGCCGGGTGTGGTGGCACATGCCTGTAGTCCCAGCTACTCGGGAGGCTGAGGCAGGAGAATTGCTTGAACCCGGGAGGCAGAGGTTGCAGTGAGCTAAGATCACACCACTGCATTCCACCCTGGGTGGCAGAGTAAGACTCTGTCTCAAAACAATAAAATAAAATAAAATAAAATAAAATAAAATAAAATAAAATAAAATAAAAGGACAACACCATTAGCTCAGAGGGTTTGGTTGGGAACATTAAACGAGATAATAAATGTAAATGTAAAAAACCCTGCCATATATTAAACATTCAATAAAGGGTCACACCTGTAATCCCAGCACTTTGGGAGGCTGAGGCGAGAGGACTGCTTGAGCTCAGGAGTCTGAGACCAGCCTGGGCAATGTAGTGAGACCCTGCCTCTACAAAAAATTTAAGAAATTTAGCTAGGCGTAGTGCTCATCTGTAGTCCCAGCTACTGAGGAGGCTGAGGTGGGACAATCACCTGATCCTGATAGGTCAAGGCTGCAGTGAGCCACGATCATGCCACTGCAGTCTGGGCAACAGAGCGAGACCCTGTCTCAAAAAAAAAAAAAATGTTTTAGGTGATAGAGAAGGATTAGAGAGCTACTTTAGGGAGTGTGGTCAGGGCTTCTTCAAAGAGATGACATATAAGCTGACAGCTTAGTGACAAGGAACTAGCCGTGTAAAGATCAAAGGACACACCTTTTTTCTTTTTTTTAAGACAGAGTCTCACTGTTGCCTGTTGCCCAGGCTGGAGTGCAGCAGCGCAGTCTCAGCTCACTGCAACCTCCAATTCCTGGTTTCAAGCCGGGAGCTTGCCTTGTGCCTCAGCCTCCGAAGTAGCTGGGACTACAGGCGCCTGCCACCACGCCCAGCTGATTTTTGTGTTTTTAGGAGAGATGGGGTTTCTCCATGTTGACCAGGCTGTTCTCACACTCCTGACCTCAAGTGGTGCGCCCACCTCGACCTCCCGAAGGGCTGGGGTTACAGGTGTGAGCCACCGCATCCAGCCAAAATGTAGATTTTAGTTGATTCCTATTAGATAATGTCTAATAGGAATCTTATTTCTTGTGCAGTGGTGTGGTCATGGCTCACTGCAGCGTCAACTTCCCAGGCTCAAGGGATCCTCCCACCTCAGACTCCTGAATAGCTGGGACTACACTCACACACCACCATGCCTGGCTAATTGTTTTGTATTTTTAATAGAGACAAGGTTTCGCCATGTTGCCCAGGCTGGTCTCAAACCCCTGGGCTCAATCGATCTGCCTGTGTCAGCCTCCCCAAGTTCTGGAATTATCATGCTCAGCTAGGAGTCTTTTTTGTCGTTGAGATGGAGTCTTGCACTGTCGCTTAGGCTGGAGTGCAGTGGCGCAATCTCAGCTCACTGCAACCTCTGCCTCCCGGGTTCAAGCAATTCTCCTAACTCAGCCTCCCGAGTAGCTGGGATTACAGGCACCTGCCACCACACCTGGCTAATTTTTTGTATTTTTTTTTTAATAGAGACGGGGTTTCACTGTGTTGGCCAGGCTGGTCTCAAACTCCTGACCTTGTGATCCGCCCACCTCGACCTTCCAAAGTGCTGGGATTACAGGCGTGAGCCACCCCACTGCAGCCACCACACCCAGCCCCCACTGCCCCCACTGTTTTTTTTTTTTTGAGACAGAGTCTCCCTCTGTCACCCAGGTTGGTGTGTGGTGTGACGAAATCTTCGCTCCACTGCAGCCTCCGCCTCCCGGGTTCAAGTTATTCTCATGTCTTAGCCACCTGAGTAGATTACAGGCATGTACCTGCCACCATGCCTAGCTTTTTTTTTTTTTTTTTTTTTTTAACGGAATCTAGCTCTGTCGCCTAGGCTGGAGTGCAATGGCATGATCTTGGCTCACTGCAACCTCCGCCTCCCAAGTTCAAGCGATTCTCCTGCCTCAGCTCCTGAGTAGCTGGGATTACAGACGCATGCCACCATGCCCAGCTAATTTTTTTTTTTTTTTGTATTTTTAATAAAGACGAGGTTTCACCGTATTAGCCAGCATGGTCTCCTGACCTCGTGAGCCGCTCACCTTGGCCTCCCAAAGTGTTGAGATTACAAGCATGAGGCACCACGCCCAGCCTTTTTTTTTTTTTTTTTTTGAGATAGAGTCTCCCTCTGTCGCCCAGGCTGGAGTGCCAGTGGCGTGATCTCAGCTCATTGCAACCTCCGCCTCCCGGGTTCAAGTGATTCTCCTGCCTCAGCCTCCTGAGTAGCTGGGATTACAGGCGCGCACCACCATGCCTAATTTTTGTATTTTTAGTAGAGGCGGGGTTTCACTATGTTGGCCAGGCTGGTCTCAAACTCCTGACCTTGTGATCCGCCCTCCTTGCCCTCCCAAAGTGCTGGGATTACAGGTGAGAGCCACTGTGCCCAGCCTAGGAGTCTTACTTCTTTTTTTTTTTTTTTTTTTCTGAGACGGAGTCTCGCTCTGTCGCCTGGGCTGGAGTGCGGTGGCCTGATCTCAGCTCACTGCAAGCTCCGCCTCCCGAGTTCACGCCATTCTCCTGCCTCAGCCTCCCGAGTAGCTGGGACTACAGGCGCCCGCCACCTCGCCCGGCTAGTTTTTTGTATTTTTTAGTAGAGACGGGGTTTCACCGTGTTAGCCAGGATGGTCTCGATCTCCTGACCTCGTGATCCGCCCATCTCGGCCTCCCAAAGTGCTGGGATTACAGGCTTGAGCCACCGCGCCCGGCCTAGGAGTCTTATTTCTAAGAAAGAAGGACTCCATGGGGGAATTCTGTCTTGCAGGGTTATTGAGAAGATCACGTGAGATAACATACAGCACCTAGAAAATATTTAACCAAAGCGGTTGTCCTTCTCTTCCATATCAGAGACATCCCTTTGGGATTTCAGGCATGTTGTTACTAGTTGGTAGGGTGGAGGTTGCTGTTACTTGTGAGGTGTTGAACTCATTCAGATTTAGTGAATGTGAATCTGAGGACTGGAAATCACCATCTTAAGTTCACACATGTATCAAACATCACCTGCCTAGTTCATTTCTCAGCCTAAGTCAGCCTTGGGCATTCCTGGCAGAGACGGCAGACTCAGCCCTTGGCATAGCTGAATGAGCTCTCGGAAGCTCAAACAGGCTAGTTTCTATATTTCTGAAATGAAAAATTGATCACCTCTTTCACTCATTCCAGCATTTGTTTTGTGCCAGGGACTGACTTAGGAGCTGAGGATTAAGAGGTGGACCCTGCCATGGAGTCCTCTCTTAGAGGGAAGATGGACTTGTACATAGACATTTACAAAGCATGTGATCACGGGTAAAAATGAACATGCTCACATGGAGCTCTGGCGACAGAATGTGTGCCTCATTCTAGAGAAAAAAGGATTGTTTCGAGGAAATAACTCCAAATAGGACTACAAATAGGAGTGTTCTAGGCCAGTGTGGTCCTGCTCCGGCAGCATGAGCGTCACTTGGGAACTTGTTAGAAATACAAACTTTAAGGCCGGGCGCGGTGGCTCACGCCTGTAATCCCAGCACTTTGGGAGGCCAAGGCGGGCGGATCACGAGGTCAGGAGTTTGAGACCAGCCTGACCAACATGGCGAAACTAAACATACAAAAATTAGCCAGGCATGATAGCGGGCACCTGTAATCCCAGCTACTTGGGAGGCTGAGGCAGGAAAATCGCTTGAATCCAGGAGGTGGAGGTTGCAGTGAGCCAAGATTGCACCACTGCACTCCAGCCTGGGCAACAGAGCAAGACTCCATCTCAGAAAAAAAAAAAAAGAAAAAGAAAGAAATACAAACTCTCAGGTCCATCCAGACCTATGAAATCAAAAGCTCTTGGGGCAAGGGAAGAGATAGCATCTGTGGGTTTTTTTGTTTTTTTGTTTCTTTTTTTTGAGACAAAGTCTTACTCTTATCTCCCAGGCTAGAGTGCAATGGCATGACCTCGGCTCACCGCAGCCTCCGCCTCCCGGGTTCAAGCGATTCTCCTGCCTCAGCCTCCCGAGTAGCTGGGATTACAGGTGCCTGCCACCACGCCTGGCTAATTTTTGTATTTTTAGTAGAAATGGGGTTTCACCATGTTGGCCAGGCTGGTCTCGAACTCCTGACCTCAGGTGATCCGCCCACCTCGGCCTCCCAAAGCGCTGGGATTATAGGTGTGAGCCACCATGCCCGGCCAGCATCTGTTTTGATGCATACTTGTTTGAGAACTGCTGGCCTGGAAGGTTAGAGGCCATATCAAAATGAAATCATTATATGCTAGAGGACAGCTACTGTGATTAGATGGAGAGCCTTTCTGAGGGAGCAATGGTCAGTTAATTCAAGGACTGTTAGCAGGCACATAAGTAGTCCCAGATTCTAGGGAGGCTGAAGCAGGAGGATCACTCGACCCCAGGAGTTAGAGGCCAGACTGGGCAACCTTAAAAAAAAATAATAAAGATGCTAGTCCTTGTGGAATAATGCTCAGAAGTCACTGATGCATATCCAGAAAATTGTTTTAAAATTGTTTCAACAGCCCTGGAATGCCTCTGGGAAGTCCCCTGAAACACAACAATCCTGTTTCACCTAGTGTTCCACAACTGAAGGGGATGACAAGGGCACCTTTTGACTCTTCATGGTAGCACTGTCAGTCCCGGTATAGAAGCATGGAGTTATTTAATGAAAGGGTCATTGACTTCAAATTCTAGGCAACTGGACCCAAGATAAATTGCAAACACATTTAACCTCTTCATGTTACATTATGGCAGAACACTGACCCTTACGTTTGGTAGGCTAGGAGCCTAGTAAATACGCAGGGCAATGACTTCATAGATTCCCATGTCTCTCTCCCTTTTTAGGTGGTTTTTCTCCTCTGCGCCTATGTTACAGTGTACATGATATATGGGAAATTTCGTAAAACTTTTGACAGTGAGAATGACACATTCCGCCTGGAGTTTCTTCTGGTCCCAGTCATTGGCCTTTCCTTCCTTGAAAACTACAGTTTCACTCCGCTGGAGGTAAGGGAAGGGACTGAGTACCAATTCTCAAAGGGAAGTATGTTCCCCCGTATCCTTCCCTCCAGACCCTGGGGTTGCCTTCTGCTTACAACTGTGACCATTACTCATGTATCCTTCAGTTATAAGTCGAGAAGAAATTGACAAGCTATTTACAATGCTTTACTTGGAAATGAGCACATCTAAATAGTCATGATGCCCATAAACCAAGCAGGCATCACAGCCCTACTTCCCCTACTTCTGGCTGTTGAGACCTTCTCTTCAACAGATGATTAGCAGATCCCTGAATCCCTGTAGCACAATCCAGGCTCAGAAATTTCAGCTCAGTAAGTTTGGACTGTGGCCCATGAATCTGCAGGCAACAAGCATCTTGGGAGATTCTGATGCTGGTGTTCATGGACATGACTTTTTTAATTTATTTATTTTTTGAGATGGAGTCTTGTTCTGTTGCCCAGGCCGGAGTGCAGTGGCACGATCTTAGCTCACTGCAACCTCCGCTTCCTGGGTTCAGGTGATTCTCCTGTCTCAGCTTCCCGAGTAACTGGGATTACAGGTGTGAGCCACCATACCCAGCTAATTTTTGTATTTTTAGTTGAGACAAGGTTTCGCCACGTTGGTCAGGCTGGTCTCCAACTCCTGACCTCAAGTGATCCACCCACCTCGGCCTCCCAAAGTTCTGGGATTATACGTATGAGCCTGGCAACATGATTAGATTTTAAGAAATTGTGGCTTAATTTATGATTTTATACTATGAAACTATCATTTAAGTTCTTTTTGGCTGGACACGGTGGCTCGCAAGGTCAGGAGATCGAGACCATCCTGGCTAAGACGGTGAAACCCCGTCTCTACTAAAAAATACAAATAAATAAATAAATAAATAAGCCGGGTGTGGTGGCGGGTGCCTGTAGTCCCAGCTACTCGGGAGGCTGAGACAGGAGAATGGCGTGAACCCAGGAGGCGGGGCTTGCAGTGAGCTGAGATCGCACCACTGCACTCCAGCCTGGGAGACTCCATCTCAAAAAAAAAAAAAAAAGTTATTTTTGGCCAGGTTTGGTGGCACATGCCTGTAGTCCCAGCTACTAGGGAAGGTGAGATGGAAAGACCGCTTGAGCCTAGGAGGTCGAGGCTGCAGGACGCCATGATCATGCCACTGTACTCCAGCCTGGATGACACAGCTAGACCCCATCTTTAAAAAACAATTAAAAGTAGTTTTTTATATAAATGCTCATGCCACACTGTGAAAAAAGCAGTATACTGTATAATCTTTCAAAAATTAGAAAAAAAAAACCCTTATATTTACCTAGAGATGGTACATTAAACTGATTAAAATATAATTTTTATTGAGAACTTTTTTTCCCCCTTACTGTATACCTCTTCCCCAGCAAGCTATTGTTTTAGTGATTATGTTCTTTTAACGAGATGGGCCTCTTCTTGGTCTTGCTCAGTCTCTGGCCGCTTTCTCTTTGGCTCAGATCCTCTGGACTTTCTCTATCTACCTGGAGTCAGTGGCTATTCTGCCCCAGCTCTTCATGATCAGCAAGACTGGAGAGGCTGAGACCATTACTACTCACTACCTGTTCTTTCTGGGTCTGTACCGGGCACTCTACCTGGCTAACTGGATCAGGCGGTACCAGACTGAGAATTTCTATGACCAAATCGCAGTGGTGTCTGGAGTAGTACAAACCATCTTCTACTGTGACTTCTTCTACTTGTATGTGACCAAAGGTAGGTCCTGGGATAACAGCACTGATGCTGGCACTGGCCTAAGGAGTTACTCATCCATTCAATAAGTATTCCAGCAGATACAGACATGAACAGTCAAGTCTCTGCCATTCACAGTGCTTGTGTTCCTAATGCAAGACAAATATTTTCAAGAAATGCTATCAAAACATGGTCAATAGGTTATGTGTACTATGCAAGACAGCTGTGAGATGACATATGACAGAATACTTGGTTAGTAGTGAAAAACATTCCAGAACTTATCACAAGCCCCAAGGCAAACAGCTTGGTGTGATGGACAAAAAGGCTAGCGTGGTCAAAATCTATAAACCTGGAGATAACAAGTCAACCAAGACCAGTTCACATAGGGCAGGGGTGTCCAACCTTTTGGCTTCCCTGGCCCACACTGGAAGAATTGTGTAGGGCTACACATAAAATACACTAATGATAGCTTATGAACAAAAAAACCACCTCAATGTTTTAAGAAAGTTTACAAATTTGTGTTGGGCCATAAAGCCATCCTGGGCCACGGGTTGGACAAGCTTGACCTAGCACCTCATAGGCCAGCGTAAGGGGTTTGCACTATGTTCTGATTGCCAAGGGCGGCTATTGTGTCATTAAAAAACTCAACCCACTAGCTGCTATGTAGGGTAAAAAGCAGTCCAAGTACAGTGACTAGCTATGGGGCAGTTGCAGTTGTTCAGGGAAAAGGCTCTAGGTAGAAAGAGATGTGGACACAAGTTCTGGGACTTGAGAGGGACTGCTGATGGATTGTTTGAGATGTACAATAGACAATTTGAGGCCAACTACTAAGTTTACAGCTGTGGGGAAGGGTGCCAGTAACCAAGTCGGGGATCAGCAGGTCCATAGTCAACCAGAGATGAAGACTCCCCCTTTGCTTTAACAATCGAATATATACTGTGAGCCGGCCATTAAGAGATGATAATAAGATTATGCACCAAGTTATAAAGCAGTCCTTTCATCAGATGGTAAATTCTCATTTCATCTCTTTTCTTCCAGTCCTTAAGGGAAAGAAGTTAAGTCTTCCAATGCCAATCTGAGGACCCTCTGAGATAGTCTACACCATTTTGAATGTTCTTTGGCAACTTATCCATAATTTGGGATCAAATGTTAAAACCAGAAAAATGCTTAGTGTGGATTTCAGCAAAACTTGATCATCCCACCCAGAAGACCTTCTCATCAATAGACTGCCCTTAAAGACTCATTGTAAGGTCATAAAAACCTGGGCCAACTGCACAAATACGGTGCCTCAAAATGACTGCAACAAGAAACCTTAAGGTGCCTTACCGACGAAAAAGATCAAATAAATGATTGCTCTCCAAGGCCCGAGGGCAAGACTCATGATGAGGAAGTCAACCCCAATCTGGAACAATGTCCCTCCTCTTAAGAATGTCCCAACTAAAGACCAGTTAAAATATTAGACTACGCTCTTGTGAATTTCCACTTTCCAGGTAGGTGACCAAATTTAGGTGGTCAAGATATAAAGGTGACAGCTAGTTTTAAGTGTGAAACGTATTTCACTTTCATACTGAAATTTACCAGGTTTGGATGGAAGAGTTTTGTGCCTCATCTTTTACCGGTTTGAATTTTTTCAAACCAGTGACTGATACCTGCCTTGCACTTAGTACCTTAATACCAATAACCTAATGGTACTTAGGTGAGTACCATTTGCTCAATCACTGTTTTACTTATGAGCAGATACAGATACATCCAAACCCTTACCTACTAGGTATCCTGCTAGGGTTTTCGACTCCAACTCTTAAGTTTAATCAATTCTACTTTCCTTTCAGTTTTAGGTGCTAATCAGTCAATCCAATATTCCCCCTTTGTCTTGAAACAAATAAAAACTGTTTTAAGATGTCTACATTGAACCATTCAGAGAATTTTTAAGCAATAAAACCTTACACCTTATTGTCAACAGTGTTTTTATTTATACCTACAAAAAGAAAACAAGATGGTATCAAAAGGACAATTTACAAACTAAGAATAGTAACATAGCTTTCAGCATCCTGTGCCTGAACATCACACATCTACAAATCTTTCAAGTCTTAATGCAACAGGAATGTTTGGAGACCAGCAAGAACATGAATAGAGAGCACTGATCCCAAGCAAAAGCCACTAACCTTTTAGATGAGAAGTCCACACAACGAATTGTTAGGGAGGATTGGGGGAGAAGCAGCCCATTGCTTAATACATTGAAACCCTTTCCCTAAGTTGAGTTTCAACCATGAATGCAGTAACTAGCATAAAATGATTCTTCTGCTCATGTTCTGAAGCCAACAGCAGAACCTGAATTATGAGTGACAGAAATGGAGGCAGAAGAGTTAAACTCTGCTAGATTTCAGCTGTGCTCAGGCCATAATAGCTTTTAAGGTTTTACTGTTATTTTATGATTACAATGTCTCAGGTGGAAAAAGGGAAGCAAGCAATCCAAATAACCACTTGCTTGCAGAGACCTTTCCCTCAAACAGATGCTTTCAAGAGCTGCGAGAGAGTAGGGCATCCCTTGTGGTGGAACCTCTATGTTTAAAGAAAGAAGAAAAAAACCCAGAATTTGGTTGTAGAAAACAATGCCCACAACAGACTGGCCAGTGCTTAGACAAATTTGGGGTAGGGGGGAACACTTTGGTTTGAAAGCACAGAGCAGTTTGCCACGTTTCGTCTGTGCCTACCATCCTCCCTTGGCCTCAACTTCTATAAGATGGGGGGGGGGGGACAAAAAGAGAAGTAAAGTTAAGAAAGAAGAAAGTGGAAAATTAAAAAAAAGATGTCAAAGTTTTTACATGCATACATTTCAGCTTATGCTGAAGACCTACCTGTATGTTGCACATTGAATCATACTTTCAGAACCCCTCAGAAACCATCCCTCTCTCCCTAAAGAATTTTAAAAGGAAAACAAAAATCTCAAATATAGATCTTACAAATCAGCAAGCATTCAAGCCTTAGCCAAAGAATGCAGTGGAGCCTTCCGCCTTAAACTGCGTTGTGAATGAATACAAATTAACAGCATAAAAATTAATAGTCCCGTATCAGATCTGAAAGGGGTTTCTGGGGCTGTCTGATGTCTCTATCCTGTTGTAGTGAACACAATAGCAGAAAATTCTTTCTGGGTTCATCTGCTATATAAAAAGTCTTGGTAAAACAGCATTACTATGAAGAGGATGAACTCACCTACCTTCAGATGGAGGAAAAGTGAAAAGGACTTAGGCTTTAGTCCTCCATGACTTTTCTTAAGCACTACCTACCTGTAATAAGCTGAGTGCAAAATGATGCCGAAGAAAATCTGCACCCAGAAGCTGTTAGAAAGCACTGCAGAGAACAGGGTATGAAGAAAATAAGAGTTCTTAATAAACCCTGAAGATTCTTTGTTCAAGGTAACTTTGCCAAAAGGGCAGAGTAGCTGGCAAAGAGTTGTTTTTATTCTAGCTCTACACTGCATTTCAAAAGAAAATCTGCCCATTTTGAATATATTGTTTATAATTAAATGTGCTTTTTACACTGCAGGTCAATATAAAAACTGGTTAGTTTCCAGTGAGCATTTATGTTCATTTGCTCACAGCAGCTGTCTGGCTGGAAAATTAATTTCACAGATGGTCCCCAGTTTTACCGGGAAATATAGGCAGCTTCCACCCAGATGCTGAGATGCTACAGTTAAACCACTGCAATAAACACTTGTGGTTTTTAATTTAAAGGATACACAAGACTCCGCATTTCAATTTCTAACCTGACACTAAAATGGTTATTTTTCAGTAATGGGGGCGGGGGAAAGGCAGAGTGTAAAGGGAGATAAAACCAATTAGTGATTTTTAACTGTCAAATGCACTCAAGCAATCAGTCAAAACAGGCCTGAGGAAACCTGTTCCAACTTGAGAAACATTTAAAATAACAAAAGAAAATGTGCAGGGAAATCCCTGTTTGTTTTCTAACCCAGTAATGAGAAATTTAAAGCACAGATGCCATCTTCCTCTGCAAAACGATTGAGCCCTCCCCCCTCCCTCCCTCCCTCCCCACCAGCTCAGAAAAAAACAAAAGATGGGCTTCCACAAAAGGGCCTAATACCTTACTCTTTAAGATGAAAAATAGCTCGAATATCTTCAACATGCAAGAAGTTGGGGGAAGAAATTAATCTCTTCCAGTCAGCTATATATATATATATATGTATTTTTTTTTTTTTTTTTTTTTACAAAATGTTATTACAGACTGGATCATTTTGGCGGGCAGAAGAAACCTGGCAGTGAATTCTAACTAATCTGCATGAAAAGACAAATCACGATGGTTGGGGAGAAAAATTAATAACAAAAAAAAAAGAAAAGAAAAAGGAAAAATAAAAAAAAGGGGAGAGGAAAAAAAAGGAAAGAGTGTTCCTTAAAATGTAATTTAAGTCTGCTGGAGTCACTACCACTTGAGTGGTTTCATTTACGTGAAGGAGGAGGAGGGGGAGGAGGAGGAGGGTATTGGTAGGCAGTCTGCCCCATGTAACCTATCATATTGGTAGCTCCCGGAGGCTGTGCAAACTGTTGTGACATCAGTGGCTGTGGCTGCTGCCCAGACCGGCCTATCCCACTAAACTGCTGGCTAGAGCTCTGCGAACTTCTCCCAGTTGAGGTGGTGCTACTAGCTCCGTAAGTGCCAGCACCATATTCTTGAGCTGTATAGCTACTGGTGCCATAAGCAGCTGCCCCATAGGTGCCTTGACCATAGGTGTATTGGCCTGCTTGTGCTCCAAAGGCAGAATTTGGACTTCCATAGCCACTGCCATTAGCATAACCAGCTCTATCGGTTTCACTACGATCCCGATAGCTTGCAGAGTCTCTCCGGCCACCATCCTTGACTCCTCGAAGCCTTCGGTCACACTCATCCTGATACATCAGATTGGGATTGTTGGCTGAAGAAGTGGTCCGGTAACGAGAACGACCACCTAATGGGAAGATACAAGGGAATTTTTAATGCCAGATGTATGACCTAAACATAACAATGTAAAAATTCTACTGGGTACAAAAGTATTAAGCATGTTTCCTTGATATTTAGTTATGCTGGCCAGCCTCCAAGTTAGTACTGTAAAAATATACTCATAATTTATTTAATGGGGCACATTCAAAAGCACAGTAAATATTAAAGGACACTAGACCTTTTCACTCTTTTAGGCCCTTTACTTGAGGATGATCAAGAAACACGGTGTTAAAATATGAAACCTTGAGTCAGGAAGCCCAGATCCTCGGATATTCTGCAACTATACATCCAACTGCTATGTCTCAGTTTCTACCGACCACTAAACAGTGTAAAATGACTGATCTCTCCATATGGAAAACTGTAAACCTAATATACTACTAAGCATTTTTGAAAGTATTAAAAAAAAGCAACCATGACCGGGGGCACACTGGCTCACTCTTGTAATCCCAGCACTTTGGGAGACTGAGGCAGGAGGGTCACTTGAGGTCAGTACTCTACAAAAAATACAAAAATTAGCTGGGCATGGTGGCACAAGCCTGCAATACCAGCTACTTAAGAGGCTGAGGCAGGAGAATCGCTTGAACCCAGGGGGCAAAGGTTGAAGTGAGCCGAGATCGTGCCACTGCACTCCAGTCTGGGAGACACAGAGACTCTGTCTCTGCCCCCGCCCTGCCAAAGCAACCACATTAAAACTCAGCCGGGTGAGTCTCGGCCGGGTGTGGTGGCTCACTCCTGCAATCTCAGCACTTTGGGAGGCCGAGACAGGTGAATCATCTGAGGTCAGGAGTTTGAGGCCAGCCTGGCCAACATGGTGAAACCCCATTTCTACTAAAAAGACAAAAATTAGCCGGGTGTGGTGGCAGGCGCCTGTAATCCCAGCTACTTGGGAGGCTGAGGCAGGAGAATCACTTGAACCTGGGAGGCGGAGGTTGCAGTGAGCCGAGATCGCACCATTGCACTTTAGCCTGGGTGACAGAGCAAGACTCCATCTCAAAGAAACAACAACAAAAAAAACCACAAAACACAACAACAACAACAAAAAAAACCAGACCAGTCTCTAAGGAAAAAAAAACTCACAATTTAGCTTAACTGATAGAACTATCACAACAAACTTCACATTTTCTTAGCTGAAAAAGGTTATAAAAAGCATTAGGCAGTGTCCTTCGTTATGAAGCAACACACTTAAAGCCTTCACATGGTTAAAACCAGCAACTAAAACAAGGCACAGTAAGCATAAAGGGATACCTTGGCAGTACCTGGAAAACTCCAGGACTTACCCTTACCCCCGCCTCCGCCGCCGCCTCTGTGGTCCACAAGCTGCATCAGTTTTGGATTGATAGCCTGATTGGCCTCTTCCAGCACTTTGATAAGCTCTCTGGCCTGTTTTAGGTTCCCTGGGGTGAAGAAGGTATAGGCGGTACCCTTGTTGGTGCTACGGGCTGTTCGGCCAATACGGTGCACATAATCCTCTGAGCTGTTTGGATAGTCATAGTTGATCACAAACTTGACATCTTCCACATCTTCCACGTCAATGATGAGTGTGTAGGTTGATGTGGCAGGGAAAGAGAAGGTAAAGGACATGCCAACAACAGGTGGGAAGCACGAATGCAGATGACAGCAAGAGGAAAGAAGGTGAAGTTAGTAACCACTCTGAACAGAAACAAAAAAAGACTCATCCCAACAGAGTAAAAGAGGATTACTGATTCCTAGGACATGCATGGGAAGTAGCATCTTTATTGGCTGTAGAATCCTAAGGGAATCCCATCCAAACATCCAAACTCCTGCCTCTGCTACATTTTACCAACATACTGACAGGAGTTACACCAAGATTGGTCTTCAGACGCAAATTCCAATACTATCCTTTACAAAACTGGAATGTAGAACAAAGTGGTAAACCACTGTTAAGTTACAAGGCCTAATCACTTCTACTCTGTTGGGAGAAGCCTGGCAAAATCTACCAACAACATAACAAACTTACCTTTAAACCAGTCACAGAGCAAAGTAAAAAAAGGAGCTTCATATATTTTATTACTACAATTTAAAGGAAACTTAATCAAAACATTTAACTTGTTTTTTTGCTCTTATATTTTTAAGAAACTGAGTAGAGTCAAAGCTGTTAAGTACACACCTATTTTCCTTTGCAGAAACATCCAGATTATCTATCCCCTTTCAATTACAAGAGCACATTACACTAAAATTTTACTGTACTACCAAGCCCAGCTTCTGCCAAAATGAGGATATTTTTGCTCAACTCAAGGTTATTTCAACTCAGGACTTGTTTCAATTACCAATGATTGTCTACGTGACCTGGGAAATTAAATTAATAGCCAAAGAATGTGGGAAAACCATGAAACCTTGAGACACAAGTTTAGTATTCTCTCCACTGCTGGGAATTGGGCTGAATAACCTCCTAAGGCTTAAAATGTAAATGTTAGTGTAATGCTTTCAGCTGAATGTATATTTTTACCTAAACAAACAATTTTAAGAATATAACAAAGAATCCTACTGTTTTGTGGAAAAAAATCTGCATTTTACAAAGAATATTCAGAAAATATCCTAGATAAAACACAGATTTTTGTGATATAAATAATTAAAAAACATTCTCTGTTTGTTACCAGACCGATGCACACTCCCTCCTCCTTTGGGAAACCGCTGCAGCCGATCCCGTCTCTTTGCCTTTTATTTTTGGCGGCCTCCTTTCGAAAACTCCGCCTTCTGACACGGGACCACTGGAGCGCGGGGAGCATGCATCAAGGGTCCGTGGC